CATTTGCTGGTATGGCACGACTCAAAATGGGAAGAAATAGCTGCAAACATCCATTAAAAATTGGAACATAGAATGTATGAAGTATGAATCTAGGAAAATTGGAAGTTGTTAAAAATGAAATGGAATGCCTAAAGATTAATATCCTAGGCATTGGTGAGCTGAAATGAACTGGTATTGGTCATTTTGAATCAGATAATCATACGGTCTACTATGCTGAAAATGACAAATTGAAAAGGAATGGTGTGGCACTCATGGTCACAAAGAATATTTCAAAACCTATCCTGCAGTGATAGGATAATATCCATATGTCTACAAGGAAGACCAGTTAATACTACTATTCAAATTTACTCACCAACCACTAAAGCCAAAGATAAAGAAATGGAAGATTTTTACCAACTTCTGAGGTCTGAAATTGACCAAACATGAAACCAAGATGAATTGATGATTACTGATGACTGAAATGTGAAAGCTGGAAATAAAGAAGACTCATTGGTAGTTGAAAAATATGCCCTTGGTGATAGAAACGATGCCAGAGCTCACATGGTAGAATTTTGCAAGACCAATGACTTACTCATTGCAAGTACCTTTTTCAGCAGCACAAATGGCAGCTATACACATGGACCTGGCCAGATGGAATACAAAGGTATCAGATCAACTACATCTGTGGAAAGAGCCAAAAGAGAACTCAACGTCTTCAGCCAAAGCAAGGCCAGGAGCTGACTGTGGAACAGACCATCAACTGCTCATATGTAAGTTCAAGTTGAAGCTGAAGACAATTAAAGCAAACCCACAAGAGGCAAAATATGATCTTGATTATATCCCACCTGAATTTAGAGACCATTTGAAGAATAGATTTGACACAATGAACACAATGACTGAAAATCAGATGAGTTGTGGGATGATATCAAGAATATCATATATGAAGAAAGCAAAAGGTCATTAAAAAAAAAAAAAAAAAAGGTAAGGAAGAAAAGACCAAAATGAATGACAGAGATTTTGAAACTCGTCCTTGAACTAAGGCAAGTGGAAGAAATGACCAGATAAAAGAGCTGAACAGAAGATTCCAAAGAGCAGCTCGAGAAGACAAAGTAACAACTTATAATGAAATGTGTAAAGATCTAGAATTAGAAAACCAAAAAGGAAAATCATGCTAGGCATTTCTTAAGCTAAAAGACCTAGAGAAAAAATTCAAGCCTCAAGTTACAATATTGAAAGATTCTATGGGCAAAATATTGAATGATGCAGGAAGCATCAAAAGAAGATGGAAGGAATACTCAGAGTCATTGTACCAAAAAGAATTGATCATTGTTAAACTATTCCAGGAGGTGGCATATGATCAAGAACCAATGATACTGAAGGAAGAAGTTGAAGCTTCACTGAAGGAATTGGTGAACAACAAGGCTCCAGGAATTGATGGAATACCCATTGAGGTGTTTCAACAAACAGATGCCATGCTGGTAGCACTTACTCGTCTATGCCAAGTAATTTGGAATACAGTTACTTGGCCAACTGACTGGAAGAGTTCTATATTTGTACCCATTCCAAAGAAAGGTGATCCCACAAAATGTGGAAATTATCAAACAACATTAATATCACACACAAGAAAAACTCTGCTGAAGACAATTCAAAAATGGTTGCAGCAGTATATTGAAAGGGAACTTCCAGAAATGAAAACTAGATTCAGAAGAGGACGTGGAACAAGGGATATCATTGCTGATATCGATGGATCTTGGCTGAAAGCAAAGAATACCAGAAAGATGTCTACTTATGTCTTATTGACTATGAAAAAGCATTCAGCTGTGTGGATCATAACAAATTGTGGATAACATTGAGAAGAATGGGAATTCTAGAACACTTAATTATGCTTTCAGGAGCCTATACGTAGACCAGGAGGCTGTTGTTCAAACAGAACAGGGGGATACTGCATGGTTTAAAATCAGGAAAGGTGTGTATCAGGGTTGTATCCTTTCACCATACTTATTCAATCTGTATGCTGAGCAAATAACCCGAGAAGCTGGACTATATGAAGAAGAGCATGGCATCAGGATTGGAGGAAGACTCATTAACAACCTGCAATATGCAGATGATATAACCTTGCTTGCTGAAAGTGAAGATGACTTGAAGCACTTACTGATGAAGATCAAAGACTACAATCTGCAGTGTGGATTACGCCTCAACATAATGAAAAGGAAAATCCTCACAACTGGATGCTACTTATTGAAGTAGCATCACAATAAATGGAGAAAAGATTGAAGTTGTAAAAGGTTTCATTTTACTTGGATCCACAATCAACACCTACGGAAGCAGCAGTCAAGAAATCAGATGCCATATTGCATTGGGCAAATCTGCTGCAAAAGACCTTTTTAAAGTGTTAAGAAGCAAAGATGTCATTTTGGGGACTAATGTGTGCCTAATCCAAGCCATGGTACTTTCTGTCGTTTCATATGCATCTGAAAGCTGGACAATGAATAAAGATTGAAGAAGAGTTGATGCTTTTGAATTGTGGTGTTGGCAAAGGATACTGAAAATACGATGGTCTGCCAGAAGAACAAACAAAACTGTCCTGGAAGAAGTGCAGCCAGAATGCTTCTTGGAAGCAAGAATAGCCGGACTTTATTTCACCTACTTTGGTCATGTTGTCAGAAGGGACTAGTCCCTAAAGAAAGATACCATGCTTAGCAAAGTCAGCAAAAAGGGGGAAGACCCTCAACAATATGGATTGACACAGTGGCTGCAATGATGGGCTCAAGTATTGCAAGGATTGTGAGGATGGTGCATGACTGGGCAGTGTTTCGTATTAAGGTTTCACTATGAGTTGGAGCCAACTTGACGGCACCTAACAACAACAACATAGCTGGTCCGCATCCCAATTTCTTATTTTATCTTTATTACATCCATCCTTATGGTTTTCAAAGGTTTTACTTTGTTAATTAAGAAAAAAATTATTTAGTTGCTTATTTTGTTATCATTCTTTCTTGTTCAGTCATCTAAGTGTTTAAGGATACTGAAATGCTCTAGGGCCTGCCAACATTAGGGATGCCGCCTGGACAGTATAGACTAGTTTAGCAATATTCATATTGTGTCTTCACTTACCCTGCAGAAAGGTGAGTTTTCTAAGTTCTTCAATGAGTCTGAGGCCCCAGACTTGTGTTAGTGTGCTGGGTCTCTGGGGGTTGAGAACAAATAAGACAGGGCTTCCTTTCTAGGGGAGCTCTGGTGGCATAGTGCCTGAGGCATTTGACTGCTAACCAGCAGGCTGGTGGTTCAAACCCACCAGCCACTCCTCAGAAAGAAGACTGGGCAATCTACTTCCAGAGATACCGCTTTGGAAACTCAAGGAGGAGTCACTATGAGTCTGATCCGACTCAATGGCAGTGAGTTTGTTTGGTTTGTTTTCCTTTCTAAAAAGCCTCTGTGAACATGACTAGAATGCCCAACCCTAGGAATGTTGGTGACTGTCTGACCTCTTCTGTTTCTTCCTTTGGGTAGAGATGAATGCACAGCCATGACTGTGACATTCAAGTATGGCTTTTGCTTTTTAATTTCCTCATGCTTAGAGAGATTCTTTGGAGGGAATTTGCAATTTATTATATGATTGTTTTCCTTGTTGTACTGGATTGTCTGAGGAAGCTTAAAAATTAATGGACATTTGTCCCCTTTATTACCTTTGAGATGAAATAATTATAAAAAAGATGTCAGAAGGCCTTAATGTCAGCAAACCTCAATTCTTGAATCAACTATAAATATGAAATTTAGCAATTTAATGTTTTTTTTCTTGTCATCATTAATGTTGTTTGTGTGTTGATTGATTTCATTGTCCTGCCATTGGGCCACTCTGGTATAATATGGAATGTAGTTTTCAGAACAATCCTCTAGAGATTAAGGCCTATCTAATCATATCTGAATAATAACAAAGACCACCAACAATCATTTCAGCAATGAGTATTTATTAAGGTTTAAAAATATGTCAAGACAGCTGACTTTAGCAGAGTCTGGAAAAAAACTTTTTTTTTTTTTTAACTGAAACATCTTTAACATAATAATACAGTAATAATAATAATAATATTTTGATGTGCATCACAAAGCAGTGCCCGTTTGTTGTTACAAAGCATTGTATGTACCTCAAATTTTTAACATGATAGGCTTTATAGGGCTTGGTTTGTAACATAAAATTCTGTTTGAGAACTGAGTTCCCCATCGGAATTTGTTTTTGCTCTTAACCTCCTTCCCTCTTGAAGCATCTCATTGTAAGCCAACTTTAACTTTTCTTACACACTTTACTTGGTCATTGCCCAGACATCTGCATTTACTACATAATCTAGGACTGCAGCTCAAATTATTAATCAACATTTTGATTTTTGTGCTTTTATCAGTAAAAACCTAGAATCAAACCCACTGCCATGGAATCAATTCCAACTCATAGCAACCTTATAGAACAGAGTAGAACTTCCCCCAAAGGGTTTCCAAAGCTGTAATCTTTATGGAAGCAGACTGCCACATCTTTCTCCCATGAAGCAGCTGGTCAATTCAAACTGCCATCCTTTCAGTTAGCAACTGAGCACTTTAACCACTCCTCCACAAGGGTTCCTTTCCCTCTTATGCAGTAGGCAAAGACAAGTGCAGATTTCTCTCATCCCCGACCTATATACTAGTTCAAATGGCCTCAAACAAAGTGGGAGGACACAGGACTCCTGACCTCTGGGTCAGTCATTGACTTTTCCCTGTGTGACACCCAAGGACTTTTGGAAATCAAAGCCCTGAACCCATTGAAGAGGGCTGGAGAGGAAATGTACAGTAATTGCTATTATCTCACTTTCCCACAGTTCAGGCTGACCGTCTGTGTTATCTTTATAGTCTTTATGTCCATTCATTCATTCAGTGAGTATTTATTAAGTGTACTGGGGAAAAAGCAATAAAGAAAACAGAACAAATCTCTGTCCTCACAAGATTTACGCTATGTTCTCTGTGCCAGTTAAATCAAGAAGGATTTACTTTTTTCCTTACTCATCTGGGGGAGGTAGGAACAAAGGAGAGTACTGATAAACCTGGAAATAGGGCCGGAGAGTATCAAAGAAGGAAGCCTTCGGGAAGGTGAAGATGTGGGAGCCAGTGGTCATGTTATAAAAGGATACAACTCCAGCTTCATAGTCCAGAAAAACCCCTGCAACCAGGAGCTTATCCTCCAGATGAAGGCTAACTGGGGGAGAGCTAAGTGCTATATAACCATTCTTTTTGCACAGCCTGATGGTCCAGAATCCGAACTCAGGCTTCTGGTTCATGCGCTCATCTCTTTGCACACTCTCTATACAAACTCCCAAATCCCACCCAGTTCCTTCTCCCACATCCACTTCAAAGTAGTGTCTTCCTGAGGTGAAGCCCTCACAGCCCATAACACAGGGAAAGAAACAAAATCTCCTGGCAGAAGTGTTAAGATGTTCCTGAGGGCATCCACGAATCACTTGTCTGCGATCCTCAGATAGAATTAGTTCAGGATGAGCTGTATCTGGATCCAGCGTCACACGGACTACAAAGAAAGACAGTTTTTTTTGGTGTTGAGAACACAGTTAATTTTCAATAAAACCAGCCTGTGTTTGAATCCAAGCATTGCTTCTTACTAGCTGTGTGCACTCAGGCAAGCCATTCAACTCTCTAGACTTCAGTTTTGTTAAATATAAAGTGGAAATTGTCATACTTATTGCAGAGCATGGTGGGGAGGAATGAATGAGCTAACATATGTTTGGTGCCAGTAAAACTCCTGGCACATGGTAACTGGCTGATAAATGGGAGTAATAGTAATGTCATTGTCATCATCTTCTTCATCATCATCACTCCTTTAGTCACTCAGAGAACTTAAGGACCAGAACTGACTAGAGCTGATATGGTAACTGTCTTCTCCAAAGCCCTTCCTCTCCCTCATGGGTCTTCCAGTAATCATGGAATATTGGAGCAGGAAGGAGTCCTTCCCTATTTATAAATACCAATACTGAAGATCGGCCGACTCGACGGCAAACAACAACAACAACAACAAAATACTGAAGATCAGAGAAGGAAAGTGACTCAGTGTCATAGATTACTATTGGAAGACCCATAGTTTTCCCCAGACCTCAGCTCTTCTTTTTTACTTCAGATAAGATTCAGTAGGAATTGGTTTAAGGTAATACACCTAGGATCAATATAAAACAAAACAAAAGAAAAGTCACTGCTGTCAAGTTGATTCAACTCATAGCGACCCCACCTTGGTAGATTGCCTGATCTTCCTTCTGAGGAGTGGCTGGTGGGTTTGAACTGCCAGCCTTCTGGTTAGCAGTCAAATGCCTTAGGTACTACACCACCAGAGCTCCCAGGACCAATATTCATAAAAAAATTACATATACATCTGGCTAGAATTAAGTAAGATAGGAAAAATGTGATAAGCTAAAGTGGGATATTGGTCAGCAATGCAATTTTAAAAATAAAAAATTGTAATAGGATGTTTCAACAAGAGAGTTAAGAAACTACTCTGTCACTGGGTTGAACATTGATCAGTTGGACTGTGGCAAGAAGAGGAATCAAGTATTCTAAAATAATTCCTGTGGTGGGTGTTCTCTGTTTATCCCTCCAGACCATTCTTTACCTTTTCCACCCTGGTCTGTGCTAAGGGAGGCTGCTCTCAGTGGACATATCCACCAGTCTTCCTTTCCTTTGGCTTCTGTTTGGTTTAGCCAATGGGAAGCATTAGAAGAAACGATAAGGCAAAAAGCAGCAGACTAAAGAGTATTTAGTACCAAAGTCTCTCCCTATTGGTATGATTTGGAGGGTCTATTCCTCTATCTTGGTTCCAGTTACCTTTAGTTATACCCCCTATACCTGCCACTTGAGGCCCAGGAGAGATGATGTAATAAAGTAACAAAGGAGTTATTTTCAAAAGTGAGGAAGAAAGTAATCTACAAGGAAGAGTAAAGCACCCAGGGCTAGGATGGTGGCAGCCTCACTGTTGAAAATAACTCTTTTATTACTTTGTTGTCACACTTTATCACTAGCATGACCTTACAAAGTTTAGGGTTTTAATTTATATTGCATGAATGATGTAGTAAAATCCAAGTTAAGAAATTAAAGTGTTTAGAGGTTGCTAGGTTGGGCAATCCTACTTCCGTAGTGATACTGCCTCGGAAACCCAAGGAGGGGTCGCTATGAGTCAGGGCCGACTCGACGGCACATAACAACAACAACAACAACAATACTATTTAAAGGATAAAATGTCAATTGGATTTTTATTGTTTATAATTGACATGTACAACAAAAAGATATAAAAGGTTAAAAGTTAAAGGACGAATAACATACTTATATAGCTGCTATAATTATTCAATGATATCAAAAGATATTAAGTGAAAACATGATTAAGGATGAAGAGGGTCACCTCATAAAGATAAAATGTGTAATTCACTAGGAAAATATCACTATTCTAAACATGCATGCTGTAATAGTATAGCCTCTAAATATTCAAATAAAAAAATTACAGAATTACAAAGAGAAATAAGCAATTCTACAATCATCGCTATCATCATGGAATATTTTAAGTCTTCTCTCCATAATTGATAGATCAGTTAGACAAACAAATAGAAAACATGGAGGAATTAAGAAAAAACAAGCCCAATCTTTTAGTCATATATAAACGCCAAAGACTAAGAAGCAGATAATATGCACTTTTTAAAAGTATTTTATTGTTGTTAGCTGCTGTTGAGTTGGCACCGACTGATAGTGACCCCATGCTCAAAAGGATTAGATTGTTGTGACCTGTAGGGTTTCCACCAAATCATTTCAGGGTGGGTAATATTTTGAAGCCAAATCAGTTATGAAAACATTTACAGTTTTCAGAGCTTTCTGAATTTTTTTAATTGTAGATAAGGGATTATGAAGTATAGCAAGTATTGGCACTTAGTTTTCAAGTTGGTAAAATGTGGTTTGGGTTGTGGTTCTAACATTCACCAGTCATGTTATTTGGGCCAAATCCTTAAAAATCATTTGGACCATAGCCCATAATACTCACCTTTCTTGTATTGTTGAGAGTTGACTGAAATAAAATGATAGACATTATGACTGGAGCTGATACCATGAAGTGGCCCTGATTGTGTACCAGGCATTGTGCTAAGGATTTCTACATGCTGATGCACTTAATCTCCATGACAATCCAATGAATTAGGAATATTTAATATTTTCATTGTGAGACAGTTATTTGGCTGGGGCCACACAGCTAATAAATGGAAAAGCAGGGAATTAAAGTGTCTGCATAGGTAACTAGTATGCTATGCCTCCTGTCTGAGCATTTGGACACACTAATAAGGGAGAGTATGACAGCTCCACTGAAAACAACAAAATGACCTCTCTCAGGAACAGGTTATGAACTTGGTTACTGCTTAAGGTCTCTTCCATCCATATAAAAAGCCAAACTCAATATCGTCAAGTCAGATCCGACTCATGGCGACCCTTCCTTGGATTTTGCAGGGGTATCACTACGGAAGTAGATTGCCCAATCTTCCTTCTGAGGAGTGGCTGGTAGGTTTGAACCACCAGCCTCCTGGTTAGCAGTCAAATGCCTTAGGTACTATGCCACCAGAGCTCCTAAAATATACCACTTAGTGATTTTTGAATTCACATACCTTGATAGCTTCTTAGCATTTTCTTCACATCAAAGTAAAGCTCAGAAACATTGCACACAGTGTTAACCTCCAAAGAGAGGGTTTGTGGTTTTTCTAGCTTCACATCCCAGCTCCTAGAATAATCAGAGATCCAAGACTTCTTTAGTGGTGCATTCTGTTCAGCTCTATAGCCCAACCCTCCCCTCCGATATTCATGCAGGACTAACCTGTTTAAAGTGTCCTTTACATCCTATAGAGGAACAAAGACAAAAGGTCAGTGTGAGAACTATTTTATGGGGTTGAGCATGTGGGGCTGTTCTCTAGAAACCCTCCTTCCAAAGAGGTAAAAAGAGGGACCCCAGCCTTAGGTATTAATGAATGTTGGGAGATATTGTTGCTATCCCAGGCCCCTTGGAGACTCACCATGGCAGGATATTTATCAACCTGAGTCTCTTATTTTCCTTTTTAAAGCTATGGGGAGCTGTACTGTTCACAATCACATCCACTTGTTGGCTGCTTGAAGAAGGGGCAAGTTTTGCCCATGCCCCTTTGAGAAGACTTGCTTTTGGTGATCTAACATCCTCACTCAGGAGGATGTTAGATCCATATTGGAAATCTTTTAAAACACAGGTCGTTAGTAGTGAATCCATGCAGTGTCCCTCACTGGGTCACGAATGTGATGGCAGCAGGTGTCACATGGTGATACAATCATTCAACACTTTCAACCCTATAGTGTTCTACTAGTGGGAAGCAGATGTAATAGCCCCCGGTGTTAATCTCTTCCTTCAATTGTATGGAGACCCCATAATGTCTTTGGAGCAAGGACTTTTTAACCACATAAGGGAAAAGGTTATCACCTTGGCTGTCACACTCTATCACCACCACTCACCTGGAAGTGTAGAGGGTCTGAGTGTTAGGGTTGTATGCACAAAGGCCATGGGGAAAATAGTGGTAAAAGTCATGCTAGGTCCTATTGGACTTATCAAACTATGTCTACGCAGAAAGAGTGTATTTTTAGAATTATCACGAGTGTCCCCTGTAGGCTAGTAGAGACCACTGTAAAGACACTGATGCATGTTTAAAAGAAACATTACTTTAAATTTCCCCTGCTAAGGTGCTACTTTTGAATGAGGGAAGTCAGGCATTGCCAGTCTTCCCATCCTTCCTTACCATTCTCCTCTTAATAGCCCAATAACAGACACTTTCTTTTCCTCCTCCAAGCCTACAGCCTTACCTGAAGCAATTCCTGGGGTGAGCCCTGACATTTCTCCCCTAGATTCTGAATATAGCTCCTAAGTTCAAAGCTCTTCCGCTCCAGAATATCTTCATTGTACTCCAATCTTTTGAGAGTCTCCTCTTTTTCTTTCTCCAGCCTCCACAGACAAAACTTCTCTTCCTCACGCAAGAAACTTTGGAGATTCTTAAAGTCAGACTGTATTTTTTCTTTCCGAGCTTTTATCTTCTCCTAGAGACAAGGAAAAAAGCTCGGCTAATGTGCCACTATTTTTCTATGAGTCACTTGAGCTAGAAGAATGTTCCAGGTTCCTTACTGCAGAGTCATGCCTGGGAGGCAAGCACTCAGATGTGTGAGAAGTTGTCCCTGGTTCTCCATAGTCACATTATTTATTTTCCTCTTCTCCTGCTGATGCAGGAGAAGAGTGAGGGTCAGGGTACTAGATAATTTTATCATCGAAGCAAGGCAAAGTTCAAACATTTAGCAATACAATTTTCATTTGGAATGTAAGAAAGTACCTCTGAGTCTGAGGGAAATTCTTGAAGAAAAGATTTGTAAAGAACATCAACAAGACTGCATTTTATGCCAACCAGACTCACAGAAGAGTCCATATGTCTCAGCAGGGGGAGATCTAGGATTGAAATGCTTTTATTTTGGATTAACTGAGAAATATTTATCCATCAGTCCAGGGTCAAATGATCAATTTAATCATTCCCAGGTGTAAGGCTGGCAGAAACAAATTGCTATATCTTATGGAGCTCAATTTCCATTTTGGGGGCACAGAGTCACAATGTCCATTAGTGCTTCCTCAATTCATGCAGAATTTCAATGATAGTGATTTTGTGGTAGTAGTTGTTGTTGTTATGTACTGTTGAGTCGGACCCGACTCATAGTGACCCCTCCTTGGGTTTCCGAGGCAGTATCACTACGGAAGTAGGATTGCCCAACCTTCCTTCCGAGGAATGGCTGGTGGGTTTGAACCACCAGCCTTCTGGTTAGCAGTCAAGTGCCTTAGGCACTACGCTACCAGGTAGAAGAGTTATTAATTTCAGATGAAGTGGAGCTTTTTTCTATAGAAGACCAGGGCAACCTTCACTCTTGCATTGATTAGATTTCCATATATTTTGGTTACAATCAAGTCCCTATCCATTCCCCAAGATCCTGAAAATGAGGGAAGGAAAAGCATCCTCGGAGAAGTAAACTTTGACCCTAACACACAAAGAATCAAGGCAGAGATTAGAAAAGGCCTTTGATAGAGGCAAAATAGACCTGTAGCATTTGACTGCAAGTTGATGGACAATATAAATATTTCCATAAAGGAATGTGTTTGTGAGAATGGGAAAGCTGGCTAGCCATGGGAATATCCTCAGAAACTCCACAGTCCTGTGGTTACAAGTATGTAGATTCTTGCATCAGTTATGCTTCTCATTATATATGAAATGGGTTTCCTATATCAGCCTCATGAGTTTGAGGAATGAATCCCACTTTGGAGTGAGGCTGTATTTAAAATGATCATAAACTTGCACTTTTACCTTCCATTTGGTTATTTGAAACTATAAGGCTGAGAGCTAGATTCTTCACTGTGGTAACTGACAAGCTAACAAAGTTGAGGCCTTTCAACCAGTAAGGTCTTTTGAAGTATTTACAATTTAAATCTAATCAAAGCTGGTTTTACGTAAATGGACACAAATTCTGCTTATGCTGACAGGTATCAGGAATTCTAGCCTACTATTGAAGAACTGAAGGAGCTCTGGTAGCGTAGTGCCTAAGGCACTTGACTGCTAACCAGAAGGCTGGCAGTTCAAACCCACCAGCCACTCTTTGGAAGGAAGATTGGGCATCTACTTCCGTAGTGATACGGCCTCGGAAACCCAAGGAGGGGTCTCTATGAGTCAGGTCTGACTCGAGAGCACATAGCAACAACAACATTGAAGGAAGGGATGGGAAGTAAATTCTTGTGGATGTAGACAACCAGGGGCCACTCAACAAAGAAACAAATAATGGTTTCTTCTTTGGGTGTCAGCTATTTGGTCTGGCTTAGTGAGAATAAACCATCATTATTTCTGCCTCAGTCATACCCTGGCCCTGAGCTCTAAGATGGAAAACAACTTGAGATCAGTAAACTCAGATTCTCACCTTCCATTCATCTATTTGCTTTATTGTCAATTCCTTTAGATTCATACATTCATCATTAAGTTGCTTCAAGTTTGTTATAGCTTCCTGGAGCTTTTCCTGAGGAAAAATTGAGTAAGTAAAGTCAATTCAATTTGCCAATGCTCCATTAGGCATCTTAATTTGTCTATTCCCATGAGAATCCCAGCCCTTCAAGATATGTTATAATAACAGTGTATATGTATTAAGTCTTATAACCATAGGGCTTGGATTGGTGCAAATGACAGAGTCCCTAGGTTAGGCAAATGGTTAAGAACTTAACAACCAAACAAAAGACTGGTGGTTCAAACCCACCCAGAGGTATCTTGGAAGATAGGCACAGTGATCTACTTTTGAAAGTTCTCAGCCTTGAAAACTCTACTCTGCACACATTGGGTCCCCATGAGTCAGAACTGACTCTACAGCAACAGCATGGCTTGATAAGAATGCCAAATTGTATGTGTAGTAACATACAGCATTTGATGGCCTTAACATCCCTGAGCCCTAGGTAGGAATCTTAAGAATCCTATCATTTTTTCTGCAGTAGAAATGAGGTTTAGGTAAGTTTTAAGCAACTTGCCCAAAGTGCTATTAACTAGTCCGTGGCTGACCTATGATTGCAACTTCTATTGACACCCAAGGGTTTAGCATGCATGGAAATTTGTAGTTATTATGGGTGAGTCAGGAGGGAAAGACATGGTGCTGACCAGAGTTACTAGAAACAGGTAATAAAGAAGGAGAGCCCTGATATTTTAAAAAGTAAGGCATCATGAAATCAACCTAAAATTATTTCACACTTACTATATCAAGCTTTTAAAGGGCTCTGGTGGTGTAGTAGATAAGGTATTTGGCTGCTAACCAGAAGGTCAGCAGTTCAAACCCATGAGCAGCTCTGCAGAAGAAAGATGGGATGATCTACTTCCATAAAGATTTATAGCCTCAGAAACCCAGTGGGGGTCACTATGAGTTGGAATCGACTTGATGGCAGTGAGTTGTTTTCTTTTTCTTTCTTTTTTGAATCAAGATTTTAGGTTATTTTTTTGAGAAAAGTTTCTCTCATTTTCATAGAAAATAATTTAAAGCTGAACCACATTGTTAATTCTGGTTCACACTAAAAGAATTGCTCCCTCCCTTCTGTAAACTCAGCAAGTATACTTTTTAAGTTTCCAGCAGTCACAAGGAAGAGACCTATGTAACTAGCAAAAGCCAGTCTTGTTATATACCAAGTGGTATACTAGGCTTTACATATACGAATGTCCTTAAAGCTCAGAACCACCACCTGCCCCCATTTTACAGATGGGGAAATGAAGGCATGAAGTCATTATTTTTTAAGATTATTATTATTATAAAAATAAGATACTAAATAATTTGCCCAAAATTACACATCTAATAATAAGTGGCAGAGTAGAATTTCAACCTAAGCAATGTGACTCCTCAGTCTGTGCTTATAACCATTACTCTGTGCTGCTCCTCTTGTTACTGTGTGTGTGTGTGTGTGTGTGTGGGTGGGTGGGTGGGTGGGGGATAATTAAAATGTGAATATTCACATTAAAGTTGTTAGCTGTTCCATAAAGCTTAAGAAAGAGCCACTGTGTGCTGAATGGTGATCAGTATTGACATGTCCTTATGAAGGATCAGGAGATTTAATATAAAACCACCTCCACTCCATGGAGGAGCTCTGATGGCATAGTGGTTAAAGCATTCAGCTGATAACCAAAAGATCAGCAGTTCGAACCCACCAGAAGCTCTGCAGGAGAAAGATGACACAGTCTGCTTGTGTAAAGATCTACAGCCTTGGAAATGCTATGGGGGCAGTTCTAGTTTGTCCCTGATATCATTCCCTAACCTCTGGCCCCACCCCTGTCAACCAAAACAAAGTGTTCCAGACAGTTTTTTTTTCTGGTTTTTCTTCCCTATGGAAGATGGAAGATGGGGCAATCTACTTCTGTAGTGATACCACCTCGGAAACCCAAGGAGGGGTCGCTATGAGTCAGGTCTGACTCAATAGCACACAACAAAACAACAAGGTCCTTGGGTGGCACAAATTGATTGCACCCAATTATTAACCCAAAGGTTGGTGCTTCACACTCATCCAGTGACACTGTGGAAGAAAGGTCTATGATGTGCTTCCATAAAGACTGCAATGCGATGCAATACAACCACTGCTGTGGAGTTGGATCCAACTCATAGCAACCCCTCCTTGGGTTTCTGAGGCAGTGTCACTATGGAAGTGGATTGCCCACCCTTCCTTCCAAGGAGTGGCTGTGGGTTTGAACCACCAGCCTTCTGATTAGCAGTCAATGCCTTAGGCACTATGCCACCAGAGCAGCCAAGAAAACCCTATGGAGCAGTTCTACTCTGTAAGACATGGGGCCATAAGTTGGAACTGACTCAACGACAACTTTGTTTTTTTAATTCTCTCCTAGAATGTAGGATATCTAAAAGGTGGTGTGTCTTCCTCACCTGTATATTGAGACCCTACCAGATGGGTCCCATTGTGGTTTTTTTGAATTATATACCTAAGGTGAGGCAATAAAATAAGCAGATATGGATTTGAGCACAATATGTTCTAGGACAGGGAGAGGTTCATCCTATCCAGAGTGCAGAGAGATAAGAATCTGACCATTCCATTGAAAGTAGGGATGGACAGTCTGGATTTGATTCAATGAGTACTCATCAAAACTATTTTTCAGAAAAATGACACAGTTAAAACTGTATTTCAGGATCATAATCTTGGATTTCAGAATAAACTATCTCAGGTCTTAGAGAGCAGCAGGAAACCAGGCCATTGGTGATCGTCTCTGACCCCTGACACTCACCTTATACCCCTGCCATACATCTTCAACAAGAACTGTGGTGTGCCCTTTGTGCTCTGGTGCCCGCTCACAGCGCCAGCAGATAAGCTGACCCTCATCTTCACAGAAAAGGTGGAATCGTTCTCTGTGTTCTTTGCATTCCATTTCGTTCATCTCCTTGATGGCCTGAATGAGGTTTCCCAGTTGCTTGTTGGGCCGGAGGCTTGTCATTTGAAATCGGACCCGGCACTGGGGACAGAAGAACCACTTTTGCAGTGGATGATTGTCAGTGAAGTCTATTACGCATGAGCGGCAGTAGCTGTGTCCACAGTTGATGCTCACTGGGTTATTCATCAGGGATAGGCAGATGGCGCAGGTAGCTTCCTCCTTCAGCTTTTCAGTAGGTGTGGATGTGGCCATGGCTTTTATTTTAAAAGTCTAATAGTGGATCTAGAGGCAGAGATGAAGCAGCTAGAATTTTCTACAGTGATGGAAATACACCTCACATGAGCCTCTGTGTGATGAGTTGGCTGCCACTGGCTTCCACAGGTCTTAAAATCTTCTCTCTCGAGAGAAGAAATGGATCAGAATCTAGAAGATGTCTAAACATCTATCTGTGTTGTCTAATATGGTAGCCATTATCACACGTGGCTACTTAATTTAAATGAAATAAAATTAAAATTCAGTTTCTCCATCTTATTAACCACATGTGGCTGGTAGCTAATGACAGCGCAAATCTAGAATGGACCATCGTTGTGGAAAGTTCTGTTGGGCCAAGAGCTGAGGAAGAGAGAGACTTCCTCACAGAAGTTGCCCCAAGAGAGAGAAATTAGTAAGAGAGCATTAAACTTTCACATTCTAATGAACATCAAGAGTAATTATTACCAGAATTATCTCTTTCTAACTGGTAGCAACACTCAGGTAATTGAGTGGTCTGTGAAGTTTCACTGAGACAATCATGTTTGACTTCCCCAATTCCAGATCTCTCTCTATTGTCTCTACCCCAAGAAGAAAAAAATTCCACTAGACTCATAAAGTATCAGGAAGACCCAACCAGGGGAATATGAAAATAACAAAGCCAACTAGAAGAACCAGTTTGTCCTTTTTGTTCTATTTCCCTCTTGGTACTTCCAAAAAACAAAAACAACTCAAACCCAAACCCATTGCCACTGAGTTGATTCTGACTCATAGCATCCCTATAGGACAGAGTAGAACTGTCCCATAGGGTTTCCAAGGCTGTAATCTTTAAGGAAGGAGCTCTGGTAGCATAGTGCCTAAGGCACTTGACTGCTAACCAGAAGGCTGGAGGTTCAAACTCACCAGCCACTCCTCGGAAGGAAGGTTGGGCAATCTACTTCCGTAGTGATACTGCCTCGGCAACCCAAGGAGGGGTCGCTATGAGTTGGGGCCAACTCGACGGCACATAACAACAACAACAACAATCTTTACAGAAGCAGAATGCCACATCTTTCTACCACAGAGCAGCTGGTGGGTTCAAACTGCCAAACTTTCAGTTAGCCGAGAACTTAACCACAGAGCCACTAGGGCTCCCAGCCTTCTGGTTAGCAGTCAAGTGCCTTAGGCACTATGCTAGCAGAGCTCCCTTCCTGGTACTTAGGGAGAAAGAATTGGAAAAAGGGGCAGAGAGGGGAGTGTTGGTGCCGTGGAGCAGAGCGCTGGAGAACTGGAGAACTAGGGCTTTGACAGTCCCTTCTCCAGGCCAGGACTGCCTCCCAGAAGTCCAGGATAATTGGAACACAGGGAGATTGCAGAATTCAGGGGCAAACCTGGCTGGCAGGATACAGGGGAGGTGGGAAGAAAGGCAAGTGGGGGCAATCAGGCATCTGTGGGATCCCTGGTGCTAGACTCGCTAATGTCCACCAGTAAAGACCCAACAACCAGAGATAGCAAAAGGAGCAAAGGAATCTGTCCTCTCATCCCCTGCTGCAGCCATTTCAGTAACCTAGTCCTATTCTCCTTTTCCTACCTCGGCGAATTTGGTAAGGGAGAAGCAGGATTGGTGGAGGGAAAAAGTTTGAAGAGTGACTTTTCCATTGAACCGACAGTGCTTGGAATTAAAAACAGAACTTTGACTAAAGTTACCGGATAGATGTTTCCCTCTGAAAATCAGGACCGGTTTCTTAGAGCCATACAGAATGTCATCTGGAGACTTCTATTTCTTGGCAGGTTATTTCTGTCAAAGGATACATGAGGCTCCTCTCTGCCAGGGGTGCTCTTAGGGGACAAGTGCCTCCCGTTCTCCTGAGGCCTCAGAATGCTGTCCTGGCCTTCAGTCACCTCACCTCCTGGATCTTCCAAGAAGTGGTATGGAGTCTGGTGAAAGAGAAAGCAAACACAAGTGAAGCTACAAAGCAAAGTTCTAATGATTTTCAGAGTTGACAAGGCTGCTTACCGAAAGCATACTTACACTCTTCCCCTTCTACACACACACACAAACACGTACACATGTATATATCCCTCCACCAAGAAAACCTTAGCCTGGATTTTTCCCGACTTCTTTACCACACAGCAGAGTCACATGTTCTCTGCCAGTTTGCGCTGTAGCTGCCACTTCCGGAGTCTGGTAGGAGACGTTAAGAACAAACTGAGAAATGAAACTACTGTGGGAGGCGGGGCCCTGAAAGATCTGGGGGAGGAAATAGTCAAGATGAAGTGCAGAGGAAAACTAAAAAGCTAGTGTTATAGGACCAAACACGGGTCACTGCCCTGTGCACAGTCGGGTCAAAACAGTTTACACACCGAGTGATGAAGAGGAGAGAAAATTATTTATTGCAAAGCAGCAATGCAAGGAGTAGGGGTATCCTCGTACCCAGATCTGACTCCCCGAAATGCCATCGAATTACAGCTTTTGTAGGTTTCAGAAGAGGGGGTTATGCATAGTCACAAAAATTTCAGGAATTTGGGTCCGCAGGCCAGAGTTAATTTACAAGTTGTTTTCTAAGACACATTAACACGCACATTAACCTGTGCCTAAGGAAACAGCAGGGGAGAATGTTTTCTTTCCATTCAGTTCTTAAGGAACTGAGTACTCATCTGTCTTCAGCCAAGTCTGGGTGGGGAAATAGTTGAGGGTAATTTAGTTTACTTATCTATTCCTATCTGGGATCTCATCTAATTATCTGCCTTAACCAGGGTGGGAGAAATAGTTTTTACTTTACTTGGTTTCACTGGCTTTATAAACTTACTTCCTTTTGTGGTTACCTCTGTGCTGCTCTAACTGAAAATACCACAAGTGAGATAGCTTGAATGAACAGCAGTTTATTCTCATAGTTTGGAGGCTTTAAGTCTGAGTTCAAAATGCCAGGCTCTAGGGGCTGGGTGAAAGCCACTCAGCCTTGGGCTTCAGCTCTGCCTCCTGCTCCTGGCCCACTGGAGCTAGAGAGGCATTTCTTCACTCAGACAGCTTCTGGCTGCTGAGGCTGACAAGGCCAAGATTGACAAGTAAAAAGGCACAGTTCCGATGTTACCAAACCACACGGCAGGCCATTCATTCAAGTCCATTGGAAGTCCCAAGATTGGCAGAGCATGGCAGGCTGCTGAACAACGACACAGCTACATGCAGGGTCATAAGCTTGCCACAAGCGTGCCATAAGCTAGAGGCCATTCCCCAAGGCTGTTCCTTACAGACAGGAAGAAGATCACATCCCTAAGGCAGCTACTCAGCTGCTCACAGTAGATTCCAGTGTGGCTGGGACAGAGTGAATGAAGGGAGAGTGGTTAAGTGTGTAGTCTGACATACAGCTTGGGGCCTCCTTGTGGAAAGTCCTCAGAGGGCTCACATAATCTTCTTTCTAGGTCCTAGAAAGATGAGCTTTAAAGGAATACAAATTACACTGGAAGAATTGTAGTTGCTCAGGGGTATAGCTGTTCTGAGATTATCTGAGGAGCTTATTAAGAGCAGAGTTTCAGGAAGAACAAGCAGAGACTGGGTCAAGATCTCTCAAACTGGACTTTTGTTTCTCAGAGAAACTCTTTCCTGCCCGATTCTCTAGAAAGCTGCTCATCCCTAAACCTAGACTCATGGATGCATCCAATCTAAACTCAGGAACTTCAACAATGAAATGAAAACTGCTAATTCAAGAAGCTGCCAGGATTCAAATGCTCCAAAAAGAATAGCTCAGAACTGCTTCGGAGGATGAACTTTACTTTATGTTTCATTCTGGAGCTATCTGTGTCAAAGTTAATCAGAGAGGTCAGACCCAGAAAATCCTCCTGCCTGGGGACGTTGAACCCTCCCTTGAGACTACTGTGAGAAGGGCTTTGAGGAAGTATGGTGGTTAAGTTTGTGTGTCAACTTGGGTAGGCTAACCAGAAGGCTAGCTGTTCAAACCCACCAGCCACTCCTCAGAAGGAAGTTTGGGCAATCTACTTCCATAGTGATACTGCCTTGGAAACCCAAGGAAGGGTCTCTATGAGTTGGATCAAACTAGGTGGCACTGAGCTTGGTTTTTGGTTGTTTTCCAGCAGCAGCTGCCTTTTCTAACCTTGATACTGACCATATACACTAAAGGAGACAATTCTTTTTCTCTGAGGCCTGGCAGAAGATCACAATCTACTGGGTCTTTCTACTATGGTCAAACAGATGTTGTTGTTGTTGTTATGTGCCATTGAGTCGGACCCGACTCATAGCAAGCCCTCTTTGGGTTGCTGAGGCAGTATCACTATGGAAGTAGATTGCCCCATCTTCCTTCCAAGGAGCGGCTGGGGGGTTTGACAGCCAGCCTTCTGGTTAGCAGTCAAGTGCCTTAGGCACTATGCTACCAGAGCTCCCAGTCAAACAGATAGTAGATGTAATAGCTAATTCCTGAAGGGTCTTGATGCACAGCATTATTGACAAAACTTTAGAATGGATCCCCAGAAACAGGCATGATTGAAAAAATAATTTTCATAGTGGTTCCCTGAAACACTTGTCTCGCCATTGTTCTGTGACCATCCTGTAATAAACTGAGGAGCATGTACACTTGCAATTATGTACTCTTAACCCAATCATGTAATCCCACATATATGTTATCCACCTATACCTGCTAAGTCCTCACTCTTAGACACCCTGCCTTTGACTTTCCTAATTGTCTTCTATCCAATTATAATATTGGAACTTGTAGTTCCTACTCCAACAGTACAAAAATGTTTTCTTCCTTGTCTGGTGGAGCAGCCATCTTCACTCTGTGAACCTGGACATTTTCCCAGTCTGGACTGTCTCTATCCCTCAATAAACCTCTTTTGCTTTTACTTTAAGCAGACTCCATAATGTTGCTCTACAACAGTCAGAATCATGATATAATATGGTTAAATAAAATTTTACATTTTTAATAATCTTAAACATGAATAGAAATAATGTTGAACTGTTTGATCAGTAAATCTATGTAAGTTTAGGAAAAACATAACTATGTAGAATAAAA